ATTTGCGGGGTTAGCTCCCAGCCAGTATAGCTGGCAGGACCATTGCGGCACAGAAGCCCGACCACCATGATAAGGTGCACGTACCGCCGAAGCGAGTACATACTATATATATATATATATATATATATATATATAATGTATATAACGAATATGAAAAGGGGGACATCGGTTGGTTACACATGCACGGTAAGTCTTCACTGCGACCACAGGCGGATAGTGATACAAAGTGACATGAATGCACTCAATCGCTTTTCGTTTCCACAATTAAACAAGAAGTATGGCGTAATACCACAATTGTCGACTGAAGTCAAAAGTTTCTTGAACGACAGATAAAGACCAGTGGGTTCTAGGTCAAAGATGTGATTTGCTTTATCTATCACAGCGAACGCAAAATCATTGGCGTTGATAATCACGTTGGTGTTCTGAAGTCCAATTAGGGCGAAAATTGCTGCGCACGCTTTCCAAGATGGTGATCAGACCAGGGTTCTGGAAAAATTCTCGTGCACTTACATACATGGCAGAGAACGGTAATGGTACAGATATGTTGCACGAAGACATACATAAGTTTCTGCAGAGACCTCTGAAATCAGTGCACACGAGTGATAAACAACCATAAACTAATACGTTCGCCTTTGTTGTCCTATGTAGCACTGGCTGCACTGACTTCACCATGCGCTGCGTCGGTTCTTGCAAACACAGATTGGGTGGATTTTCGATACCACAACCCCTCAGACGACCGGAACCATACAGAGACCCCTTGGTGTTTTTCATGCGTCGCCCCTAGGTCATGCGTTCATCAAACAGGGAACTACACTAGAATACACCACATTATGGTGCAACTAGCTATCTAGAAAACGGAAGCAATTTAAACTACAGATGAAGAACGGATGTGGAATCATGAGGTGACATCTAGTAAATTAGAAATTCGTCGTTGAATCCAAAATACGTAAGGTGTGGAAAGTGACTCCATACTTATATTTTACACAAACATCGAATCTAAAAACCAAAGGTTGTTTGCGACTGATTCACCGCAGCAGAAAGGTCACAATACATGACCAATCCACAAACTATGTGAACGAGGGTAAGAAAAGAATAAGTGACAACTATCTTAAGGACGGATGGGAGAACTAACCCAAAGTCGTGTGGAATCCGAGTATAAAACTCATTGCATGCAGTTAACAAGGAGTGTTCTAAATTTTTCCTCTCCGACGTATTCGTTTTTGAGCGCTTGAACTTTTTGGCACCAGTGTCATTGGCAGTTGACGATTCAGGGGTATTTAGAGAGGCGATGCAGTCGGCTATTTTCTTCAAAGCAGTATAACCACCTTTCACTTGATCTTTGGTCAATTTACCAAGTGGTGCACGCCGAGCATCATACTTCAGTTCCACCATGGTGTCCTCCATGGACTTGAGGTCACATATGAGCTGTATGAGAAGCTGTGCATAAGAAAAAAGAGCAACGAAAGCAATCACAATTACGCAATTACGATAAGCACAAAACAAAACCGAGAGTACGTACTAGTCAGCTTACCTGAACCGACTTTGGAAGTAGAGATTCCACGACAACAAGTTGACTTTTTTCTTCAGCATTCAGTGGCGCTATGTTTTGCTCTTGAGACGCTGTCCCGTAGTCCAGCTTAACAATGTCATACTTCCCATTCACCTTGACAAATTGGTCAACACAATCCCAATCGTTTAAAGTTTTGTCGTAAAACCTGGAAAACGGTAAGAAAATGAAGGAGATTGAGAAAATTACTTCTGTTTAAAGCAATCCATGGCGTCCTGAAGATTGCCACCAAACTTCTCCAATTTATTCTGTCCGTTTTTACCAACACGTCCCCATCGGAACCACACTGAGTAGTTTGGGGCATTATCATCTTCAAGCAACTGGATAACATAGTACTTGTTATTGTTGTGTTGGACATTTGTCTAAAAACCAGCGGTCAGAACTGGTGATTTCGAACTACTCACCTGGTTGAGCATTGCATCATAGATGATATCATCCTCGTAGTATACATGAGCAACACCAACCTTTTCTGTGCATAAGCTATCAACGGGTGCTTTTCCCTTGACAATGACACTTCTCACTATATCCACCCGCCTATGGCGTCTACTGTTACCTCACCTTTGACACTGTCTTCTGAATTCGGCTCCCCTACTTTGATAACTTTCGCAGGAACTGCTTGCTGGGTGATCACTAGAGGTCGCTTCATTTCAGTGAAGTCTGAAACGATTAGGAAAACCGATGAGATCATCACCCGGTGGAATAACTATTGTGCAATTAGACTCCTGTTGGTTACGATACTTTCCGAGGAATGGTTTTTTTAATGACCACCGCATTCCTGGCAGTGAAGCATCGGTGTTCAACACTGATGCCATGCTTTCAATGATGATTTTACTTACCACCACGCAATGCATGAACCATCTGGTTTCACCAACATTACGGTGGTGCAGAGTGGCGTTGTATACCGTTATCTAAGGGTGGCAGTTCTCCAGACCAGTGAATGCTTGAACGTTTTTAAAAAACAACTTGTTCAACCCTGAAGAGGACTAACTAAACTACAAGCGTGATGAGTATCCTAGATTACCGTTCCCCATCGAATGGCAGTATAAGCTCCGTTACTAGGTCGCAATATAAATGGGAGCTAGACGATTCGGCAGAGTTTACAGAGTACACCTTGATCGAAAACCGACTGGTACTGTCTCGGTAATCTGCCATCATCGGCTATAAACCTTACACATATTTTGCAGGAATCCTGACCCCCTAGTTTTTTTCACGGAGTACATGAAATCCGAAAAAGACAGTGCCCAGGATAGCATTTATACTTGAAATATGCTATACTTAACCACATGACACAATACACGCACATTTATGTATATATGGTGGGCAGATATCCCTCTCGGGGTCAGTCTGCCACAGCGAACTACGCCGACTGACATCGGGGCACAACATACGGTTTGCGCCGAACTATATTTACACCCACCTGAAAATCATATATTTGGTGTAAAACATTCTGTGGTGTAAATCACAGAATGAATGAGAAGGTTATTTGGTGTAAAACATTCTGTGGTGTAAACCACAGAATGAATGAAAGTTCTAGTCACCAGTACGCCCGTTATTGGCGGTTCAAATGGGTACAACTGAGCAATTAGACCAAACTGTGCATGTAAATGGTTGTCTGATGGCCAGTACTACACAATAGACACACCCTACACACCCGGGTAGTCTCAGTCATTGTTTAGCTTGACGGTTATAGGAAGTTATTTCTAGCACTGTTGTGCCTTTAACTCTCCGAAGTAGCCAAGGTATTTGACCGCCGATATGCTGATAAAGATTGAAACAGACTACCTGTTGAATGCAGTGGTATCTGCTTTGCATAGGCGGTGGGATGTACTACCAGTAAGCCGGTCATACATTCGAATGGCATTCCGTAGTTGGCCATGATTCGGCTTGATTCCGTCCAAAAGGTGATGGTTGCTGAAACTTACCTCTGCCACTATGGCGGACAGACAGAACCACTCAGTGCCTCAATGTATTTCGGTAGGTTTTGGTTCGCACGGCAACTGGCACGATAATTTACTTCTAACACCCTCCACGGCTCATCTATATGATAACTTCGGAAAGCGAAAATGCGGTAGTCATTTTATTCGTCGATGTTTTGCCGAAGGGCTGTTAGCGTATCCACTAACTAATCTAGTGGGACCGACACAAACACGACCACACCTGCCGCAGACAGCTTGTACAGTCTCCAGGTCCGAAAGCTCGAATGACAACTATTCATCTTGTACGAGTCAGCTCTATGGTCGAAGTTGAATACTGCAGTGGCAAACTTCAATTCGTATAGCCCCTGTCCATAGTGTCCTCTCCGAGCTTCTGCTTAGCACTTTGTGGAATCCACTTCGACAGTCTTAAAATTATCGACCAAGGTATCCAGATAATGATGTTTTTGTGTGCGGCACTTCGGCCGGCCACTTCGAACCACAATTTTCGTGGCCAGCTGCTGCCACTCAGTTGGATCCTGAAACTGCAGTAGAATCCCCGACGGTACACCTGGAACCCCCCAAAACCTCAGAGTTTTGCGACTCCATATGTTCCATAAAGAGCAACAGAGGTCCTCGTCCGCAGCGTTCAAAGGTGATGAAGTCCTTAATCAGCGTTCATCTGATCTATTTTCCTGTATCTAAAAAAATGAATGTGACAGTGCCCATGTTTAAAAAGGAGACCCTAGTGAGTGCATTAATCATAGGGGACTACCTGACTCCTGTCGTAACGAAACTCTTGGCAAAACTTGTATTTCAGTGCCTTATGGTGACCCGTGAAGCAATGACTCGAGCGAACTAAGGGGGATTCCGGCTTGGTAGGGACTATGTCGACCAAAGCGTTACACTCCGTCAGGTGCTAGAACAAGACCATACATATAGATAACCAGCAATTTAGATATTCCTGGATTTCAAAGGTGCATTCGACTCGGCGGACCAGTCCGTTCGAATCAACACATACACTCAGCAAGGAATGTTCCGGACAATTCTGAGCTCGCGAGCGTTTGAGATAGCTATGCACAAGCAAAGTGATGCCAACCAAGATCGCCCACTCTCTCCATTTGTACTTAATTTCGTGAGGCGAAAGCTGAATTGCCCTCAACTGACTGCTGTTGATGATGATGCCGTCGAAAAGCTAGCTGATCTGGAATATGCGGATGGCATTGTTCTCATCTTCGAGTAGCAGAGGGGGCAGGTCTTTTTGGATGAACTGACGGAAGTCATCTCGCCCTTTGGCATGCGCCCTGCGCCCAGAAAGCGTGTTCTCGTGCTTCTTTACAGCAACTCCCATGTTTAAAAAGGAGACCCTAGTGAGTGCATTAATCATAGGGGACTACCTGACTCCTGTCGTAACGAAACTCTTGGCAAAACTTGTATTTCAGTGCCTTATGGTGACCCGTGAAGCAATGACTCGAGCGAACTAAGGGGGATTCCGGCTTGGTAGGGACTATGTCGACCAAAGCGTTACACTCCGTCAGGTGCTAGAACAAGACCATACATATAGATAACCAGCAATTTAGGTATTCCTGGATTTCCAAGGTGCATTCGACTCGGCGGACCAGTCCGTTCGAATCAACACATACACTCAGCAAGGAATGTTCCGGACAATTCTGAGCTCGCGAGCGTTTGAGATAGCTATGCACAAGCAAAGTGATGCCAACCAAGATCGCCCACTCTCTCCATTTGTACTTAATTTCGTGAGGCGAAAGCTAAATTGCCCTCAACTGACTGCTGTTGATGATGTTGCCGACGAAAAGCTAGCTGATCTGGAATATGCGGATGGCATTGTTCTCATCTTCGAGTAGCAGAGGGGGCAGGTCTTTTTGGATGAACTGACGGAAGTCATCTCGCCCTTTGGCATGCGCCCTGCGCCCAGAAAGCGTGTTCTCGTGCTTCTTGGCATACAGCAACTGAGCACGCAACTTACAATCCAGTTCAAAGTTGTGGAGAGTTTTACGTACCTTGGAAATTATATTATTTCCCAGTGTAGTGTGATAGATGCGGTCAATGAACAAATCCTCAAGGCTCGGGCCACATTTGCCAATTTGAGACACCTACGGCGTCAAAGAGGTATATCCCCTAATCACGAGGGATATGTGTACCAGGAGCACTACGCGCTGTTTTGCTGCACGGCTGCGGGGCGTAGCCTCTTCGAGCAGCGCAACTGAGACGTCTTAAGATCATTGACAACCACCCTCAGAGCCATTGCTCGTATAAGCCGGAGTCGGCGAATCTGAAGAGACAATTATAAAACAAGTTTTCGGTTGTGCAAGGAGATCTCGGAGGAAGAATGTGCCAGAGGCTTTGACGGTTAGGTGATGTGTTGCGTATGCTAATAACCGTTTGCCAAAGAGTGCTATTTTCCTTGCCCAATTCAAACTAGCGCAAGTTGACTTGGTCAACCTTTGACCTGGAAGAGGGAAATGAAATCGATTACGAACACCTTAGATGCAATCGGCGCAACTCACCTTCCAGGAGGAGGTCTGCATGTTCTCCAGTGTGTCCGGTTGCAGACGCTACAAGCTAAGAATTGATCAGCTCCAGTGGCGTTCTCGTCGTCAGTTTCTACTCAGATTGTCCGAGTGGAAGCCTGGAAATGGGACTGTGTTGGGGTGGAACTAAGTACCTTCCCCATCCATGTTTACTCCTTACAATACGGCCTTCCAATAAATTATAGTTATGGGTGAGCGAAGCCTCAGTGCTGAATACCGATGTCCTGTCAAAGACAATGTTGACTACCAGGGTCTAGTCAGTTCGTACTCGGCTGACCATTTATAAGCTGTTTCGTAATCCTGCTTCCGTTTATTAATCAAGAATATCCTAGCCACCGTAGACTAGAACGTGATCATCGTCCCCATTCCATCACAGTGCGCCCGCCGGACGGTCTCCGTATTAAACACTCGTTCAGTCCAGTGAGTACAAAATATCTGCCCCAAGTAGTACGTCCAAAAGCTGCTGAAGTACTGACACATGATTCGTGTTTCGGTGCGTAAAACAACACAGGGAAACATTGCCATGTAGACATACGGTTCGGCATCTGGTCGAAGGGCCCGGTCAGTTAACACCTATTTTCCAAGTGTGCCAAAACCCACATTTATCCTGGCGACACAATTTCAGGTTACGGTCGACGGTCGAGGTAGCGGAATAGGGTGCAGCAGACCACAAACCCCGTTCACTTTCATGCGCGGAATGCCTGGGGCATCAACCAAGGCAAGCGGTACAGAACGAAAGACTTCATAGTGTTGGATTAAACTGGATTAAACTTGGAGTAAACTGTGGGAAGCAGTGGAAGAAGTCTTTGTCGGGTATTGCAGTGCATCGAGTAAACTTAAGATCAGGTTGTAATGAAGGTAGTACCACAGCCCAGTTCAACGATTCACGGATGGATACACTAGATCAAGGCATTCGCCAAATTTTCTCGGTTTGGATTTGTTTTCGTTGGCCAGCGCCTGCCGTTCACCTGAAAGGCGCAGGCAAAAAAGGGCGTAGCACTGCTCTTAAAGAGTTGCCAGTGCGAGCACTCACATAAAAGCCGCCTAATAGTGCTTTGAACTGGGTTCTAGATGTAGCGTGGACAACCGTCGGAGGAAGGTTATTCCACGCAGCAACCACCCGAAATGAGAAAAAATTCGCCCAATGAGAGTGCGAGCTCTGAGCTTGGTAATCTTCTTACCACCTCGCCGTCATCCTTGCCGGGTCAACGGCGAAAAACCTGTCGGCGAAACCTTTTTCAAACAGGGCATAAGTAAGATTTAGGTCTCCTTAAAGGAAACGATACTCCAGGGCAAAGCGGTCAAGCACCACGAGACGCGTTTCATAATCCACGGATTTAAGTCCGGCAGCCATTTTCGTAGCAGCCCGCTTGACACACCCAATGAGGGTTACGTCCTTCGTGTGACATATTCAAGAAGCGGTGGGCCCCATAGAGCATTTGGGAGTCCATGCGAGTAATACGGGAGAGGGTGCGCCGAATCATCCATAGAATGTAGAATGTCTTTTGGGCCGATTTCTCATGGTGCAGTGAGAAGGACACGTTTGAAAGGAGCCAGATACCCAGATCTTTTTTTGACACCCATCCTTGTGATGTCTTCTGGTCCATTCTCACAATGCACTGGGTCTCCTCCGAATGACATATGGACTCACTTTTCGTCATTCAGAAAAAGGTGCTAGTCCAATGACCAATGCACTGCCCTCCACCTGGAGGGCACTGGCATTTGAACCCCAAGATTTCAAGTCATCCTCGAAAATAGACATGGAGCTGAATGTACGTCTGGAAGGTTGTTGACGTAGATCAGAAACAGAAGTGGTCCAAGTCTAGTCTCACTCGGAATGTTCTGTCAGATAAGAACGTCCTGATCCATCGAAGAATAATCCCCTAAATCCCATAAGACTCAAGCTTCTGGAGCAACGGAACGTGTAGGACTCGATCGAATGCTTTTGTCGAATCGAAAAATATTGCATCCAGTGTGAGTCCCTCGTCCATAGCTTGAGTTAAGCTGTTCGTCACGCAGGAACAGTTTGGGAGAAATCCGTGTTGGACTGGAGATATCAAGTTGTTGGAAGTAAGGTTATCTAGTATGGCCTGCTTTAGAATGTATTCAATCACCTTGCACGGTACGCCAGTGGGCATAATAGGCCTATAGCTGCCGGGCGACAGTCGGTCACCAGTTTTGTAGTTTGGCGTGCCAATCGCTTC